TAATTTTAAAACATTAAATAAAATATTAAACGACAATAATTTATAAATTAGCATTATGCTTAAGAAAACAATATTTATGAATTGTGTGTTAATATTTTTGATTAATTATTTATCATTTTAACACATTTTATCTCGATTATAAACTGTTGAAAATTTGTAACAATCATAAAACAGTTATTGTGTTTGAATCTTAGACTATTTATTTTTATTTTGTATTTCATTCGGTATTGTCTTTATATACTATATTCTGATTCCACTAAGCACAAAACATCAGTGAGTTATAATGATCGTTAAATTAGTACTGCGTTAATTATTTATTGCCATCGTTTTGACATGATATTATTGTAAGGTTGCTATGATTGTAAGGTAATTACTTTCACTCACTCATTTTCGATCTATTTTTTTTTCATTCGTTAAATACTGTGTAAACCAGCACCATAATGTTTTACCTACAAAATTAACCTTACAATTGTTCAGCCCATCAAAAATTCTTGGGTTGGAAAAAAAAACACATCTGTTTACGAGATGCACTCCGGTCTATGTAAAACCAATCGACTTTCGCTTCGAAAACAAATTCTTTACCTAATACGTACCACCCCGAAAAATCTCCCAACTCATTTGAAACAAAAACGAAAACATTTTCATCTAAAATAAAAAAAGATCGACGAGTGCAACCGCCTATGGATGGTGGACACGGGTAGCGCGACCGGCCAGTCCATCTGCCCGATGAAAATCGTCGCGTTCGACCTGAGCACCGACAAGCCGATCCTGGTCTACCAGATCCCCGAGAGCCAGACTGTCGCGCGCAGAGCCTCCTACGTGAACCCCGTGGTCGAGATTGGTGACACCTGCAACGACACCTTCGTCTACGTGGCCGACGTGATCAAGCACGGCTTGCTCGTCTACAGCATGAGGGAGAACCGCTCCTGGAGGCTCGACAACACGCCGGGAAATGCCTTTGGCGACGATCCCGACGCAGGCACCTTGACCATCGCCGGGGAAAGCTTCAGTGTGAACGACGGCACCCTCGGTATGTCACTGTCACCCCGAGGATTTTACGCCAAGAGGTAATATACATTGTCACAATCGTTAATTACCATATACGCGTTGGTACTGCGGTCGAGGCAACGAAATTCAAGTAGTCGCGCAACTTTTACTCGTTAAAGGGGAGACACATCCTCTGGCCAAGTAGAGCCAACTCGCCGTTTCGAGCTGTACACCTTTCGTTATGCGCGATGTTGCGCAATTTCATAAAATAGGTGGCACGCGCATATATGAATACGCCGGGGCGTGTATATATGAATTTTTGGTTGCGTAATCGCGGGGCCACGGGAGATTATCGGTAAAAACGAAGAAAGGAATTCGCGCATGTGTACATGGGTGGTATACCGTTCACTTCCGTAAGTGAACGTTTGTGCGTGTAGGTTCCTATACGTGATGTTTGAAGTATACGTGAGAGGGAGGTGTTTTTACTCGTTGGAAGTTCAAGGAAATATGGATGTAGGAAGGAAAAATAAATTTTTTGTTTTTTTAGTATGCGTTAGGAGGGTGTTTTGTAGTGATAATGATGCGTTTATTGGAATAGATGTGCATGTCAATCACATCTTTGGATCGGTTTTTTGATCCGTTTTTATGGTGAGGGGCTTGAGTTTTTCATCTCGTTTTTCTTTCATCTTGAAGCTTTGTCTTTTATTATTATTATCATTTTAATTTTACGTTACCAAAGCATTAAAGCATAAATTTTTTACAGAATTATAAGGTCTTTGCATGATTCGTATCATTTGAAGTGTAGAAAAAAAATTTTTTTTCTGAAAGAGTGGCAATTTAATCAGCTACTATTAGCTGCAGATGTACAATAATACTTTTAAAAAAATTCTGATATTAATATTATTTTCACCAGATACATAAAAAAAATATTAATCTTCTTTTGACACAATTTTAACCGATTTTATAAATTATATTCCCAATTTCTTTTTCCTACTAACACTGCTGACGGTACAAAAAGTTTCACAAGTCCTACTTAGATTTATTTTTGAGCACTCAAAAATGATTGAAAAAAAAATCAAAAGTTGTCATTCTCATTTAAAGTAATAGCTTCATTTTTATCGTAAAGTCGACAAAGATGAAAAGTAGAAAAAAAGTTTTTTTTTAAATTCACCATCAAAACAATTCCACAAATCCAATAAATTACTAAAATTACGGTGATTAAACTAAATGAAAAACAATTATAAACAACGTAGTAAATATATTCTTCGTTAATTCATTGTTTAAGTTGGATTCCCTTTTTTTTATAATCAAATACTTGTAGTTGTTATACGTAAGAAAAAACGAATAGTAAAAGAAAACGTAGTATTGTATTTTTTTTCAAGGTGCCGAATAATCGTTACACCATCAACGTTCCCAACAATTCACCAACACCGCCCGCACCGCCGATCGGAAATATCTTAGCGGCTTTTTTTTTGCGGTCACCTCCTGTGTGCAGCCGGTCTCGTAATAGAGATACTTGCCCTACATAGCGTCATGCGAGATTGAGGCGTCGCCGGTGTACACACGACCCCCCGCGCATAGCGGAATACCGAAACTAATAACGAATTTATACGGTCACGCCGGGGCGCATCTCCTCATTTCCCAAAGTTGAGCCATAATACGAAGTTCCTCATCTAAAGGAGGAGCGGGTGAGGGGGGGTGGGGGAGTCCGCGCATAGCACACCGTGTACAGTGGAAGCGTCAGCGAAGTTGGCGCGAGGCGGAACAATTTCGAAACTCGATCGACCAACCAATGCTTATGCGTGTAAATAACGTTTTTGCGTGTAATAGGGTATGTAAATGGTAGGGGAAACAACGTGGCGAAGGGAATATTGGGGTACGAGTTGAAATATTTTCTCTTAAGTTGTAAGATCAAAGTAGATGCGAATTACGATTTTTTTTTTTTTTTCTAAAATCTGCTACTCAGTCGAAAGAATGGAGATTTTTTGATTTTTCTTGGCGTAATTTCAAAATATACCGTAGACATGGCAAAATAATTTTTTTCTTATCAATAGTTTTTATGTACATAGTTGACCATACATGTCTCATTGAACCACAATTTTTGTGCATTATTTTGAAACTATCTAAATCACTTGGGTCAGATAACACATGATGTACTATTATTGTCATTGCATTCCAATGAAATGTGTTAACTGTAATGGTACAAAATACTATTTCTTTTATGATAGTGAATATTTAAGCTTTTTTTTGTATAAAAGTGTAATTTAAAAAGATAAATAATACTATTAATGACAATGATTAAGTGACCAGTTTCATAAACATGTACGTTTAATTTCGTGTTCCAATAAGTACACCGAAAGAAATAAATAATAAAAATTATAGAGAAATCTTAGCAAAAATTAATATTTTGCACAGTAAATCGAATGCAAGCTGGCAAAAAAGGAAAAAGTTATTATTTTTTACAGTTAAAATTATTGTTTTAACAGTAAAAATTAGTATGCTCGAACAGTCAAACTTAAAAGGATCGGTCAATACATTATATTTTCCCGCATAGAAATTTTTACCGTTTTAATTTTCACTGTTAAAACAATGATTTTAAGTGTAAAAAACAACAAGTTTTTTTTTTATCAGCTTGTATCCGATTAACTGTGCAGAACGGTAATTTTTGCTGGAATTTCTCTATAACTATTACTATTTTTTTCTCTCGGTGCACAGAGACGCGCATCAACACGGAAAAAAAAGTCTACACAACAGCGCCATCGTCATAATCTAAGACGAGCTAAGACAGTTAAAAAAAAAAAAAAATCATCCACAGATACCTCTACTTCAACTCTCTGGCGAGCTTCTACCAAAAGTTCGCCGACTCTGACTCCCTGAAGCGCAGCTTCGTCTACGAGCCCATAGTCTACCAGTCGCTGGGCAAGCGCATCAGCCAGGCGGGCGTCCAGGCGACCTCCCGCACCGGCGCCACCTTCTTCCAGCTGGCCCAGTTCACCGCCCTCGCCTGCTGGAACATCGAGCGGCCCTTCACCCCCGAGAACATCGTCGTCCTGGCCCGCGACGAGAAGACCCTGCAGTACATCAGCGGCATCAAGGTCATCGTCAACGCCCTCGGCAAGGAGGAGCTCTGGTTCAACACCAACCGGCTCCAGAAGACCATCAACAACTCCAGGAGGATCGACGACCTCAACTTCCGCTTCATCCGCGGGAATGTCGATGATCTCATCAGGGGCACCAGGTGCGAGCCCACCGGTCAACGGGGCCCGGAGCCCGATTTGAACGGCTGGAAGAGGGTTTGAGATTACTCGAAGCTGTTTTTTTTTTTTTTTTTTTTTTCCAACTTGTTACAAAGATTTCACGATGATGAATAAAGTGTTTTATTATTTTATTTAAAACGTACCTTATTTTCATTGCTATTATAATTTTCCACCCTATACGGCCTCGTTGCACAACAAACGTATAGCATTGAAATGTTTCTATACGACGCATCGAGGTCGCCGAAGCTGTAAATGCTGCAGTGCAAAACATCGGGTCGTTTCGCAAACTATCCCGGGCACTTGACGCTCCTGTGTATGCAAGAACGCGCGAGTAAATAAGTACGATCACGTATTCAATTTCAAACTTAAATCCGACATTCCCGGGAATCTCTAATGACTCGGCCGAGAGTGACATATTATTTACTTTACTTGATTGCGTGTGGGTATATACTTATGAAGGGTGTGTAAGAATTCTTGGGGGAAAAAAAGCTACGAGTGTAGTTACAGTAAAACGGGCACGAGGTAGACTTCTCCCGTGTTTTTTTTTTTTATGATACATTTATGTTGCTCTGAATAAGTCTGCGCACGAGTTTGCGACGCTGCATGTTTTTTTATGCTTTTGTTGGGCAACAAAATAGTTGTGCGGTGACCAATTACAGTGGCCTTAAAGATATGGAGGGTAAAAAATTTCTCGGATGGCATTGATGGATCGAATGTGTTTTGAAACTCGTTTTGTTTTATGGGTTTGTAATAGATATGGCGTTTTCTTGGAATCGCAATAGATTGTTTTTTTACCATCTACTATTACGAATAGTAATCTGGTGTTACTCCACCGTCTAGGGACTTTTTACAATTGGCAATTTGTATATAGTAATAAATATTAGACCAGCAGTAAAAATTACTATGCTAACGGCAAAAATTACTTTTCACAAAGTTAAAGTTAATGCTCAAATACTAAAACGTCTCTACATGACTAAACAGTACTAGATTACCATTCTAGTGCAGTAATTTTAATAATTTTTTTCTTTCGCAATAGTACCTCCTCTAAATTCTTATGATTGACTTCACACTATGATAATATTTAATTTATACTTGCCCTATAGATAATAAATTGAACATTTTACTATTACTTTGAGATACATTGTTTGACAAAAAAATCAAAAATTAATTACAATAGTGTATGGGACTGACTTAAAGTAAAGAATCGCTTAATAAACAGTTGAATAAAACTTGACGTATTTTAAAAATTTTTTTTCAAAATAAACCTGACATAAATTTTTAGCCATTCTTGCCAAGATATATTAAAACTCTGACTTGTATTACTTAAAAGTGTTGTCAATATATTGTACTATAGAATAAATTTTCTTCACTGTGTTAATGCTTTATCTAACATGGTCGAAAATCACAATTTAATTAATCTTTATTGCTTTTGACGCTGTTAATCTACATATTTTTTCAAAATTACTTAGTGAAAATTTCAATCCAATTTCAAAAAAAAAATTTGTCATGGGGGTCATACATATATTTTTATTTTCAGAAATTACTATGTTCATTTTTTCCCTAAGTTTCGTCAAAAACAAAATATTTAACAAATTTTTCTCGTAGAGTAAATTATTCAACCAATTTACCATTGATTTTTATTAAAACTAATTCACTTCTTCTTAATTTACGATCTCCTTATACACTGAATTTAATAGGTACAGTTTCATCATCACACGATTGATTGTTTGAAAAGGTACTCACAATAAAATGTTTATTAATGTGTGCTTTAAACTTTAGTAATACACTGCTGAACAGGTTCAGTGACTTCATCCAAGGCCACGACGACATATTATGCAATTTTTTCCCCCAAAAAGCATCGATTATACTTTAAATTTGATTTTCATGTCATTCTGCATGTATGTTTTGCATTTACAACAGCGCAAATGTATAATGCACAATTGATTCCAACTAAATTAATTACTATTCATCATAAGAATCAGCCTTTTTGAGCGCTTCAATAATGAACTGTGAATTTTTCATTAGAAACCACGGACTAAACAGCAATGATCGATGTTTACTTAAAAAACAGCCCTAGGTATTATGTATGATTCACTCGTTCACTAACGCGTGCGACCGAATGAAAGTATCTGTTCACGCTCTGATTTTTTCGTGTTAGTTAGTTTTTTTTTTCTGCAATGAACATGCGCTTGTAGGTATATAATATGACCGATTTGATAATCGATGCAATGGCCTCGTTGGGTCTATAGTTTTTATTTCGGTATTCGCACACATTTTATCGAATGGATGGTGAAAGGAGAAGAGAGAAAAAAAAACAGTGCGTCAAAACTGAGATTATTGAAAAATGGTTCATCGAAAATCGACGTATCAACGTTTTACCATATTAATCATTTTTAAGGAAAGTCCGATATCTATAACGATGCACGCAGTCATATAACACGCAATATGATAATTAATATCTACTGCCAAAAGAGGTGCAAGGCAAAAAAGTTGTTACTGATATGGTTCAACTTTATTTCACACCAAATTACTGGAGGAAAAAAATTCACTGCGAGCACAGCATCGTACGATTCTGCAATAGTGTATCGTTTATTAGCTTCGCCGTGAAACCGAGTAAGATATCAATGACTTGATTAGATTGAAAACAAACAAAAAAAAGTTGCGTCCCAACACTTCATCCACCCAAGGGCGTGCATCAAACGAGGCATAACTAATGACCGATCGGCGCGTGCGAATATTTCACGGCAAGTGCCCGCAAGGACAAGATTGGCGACTGGTAACTTTTCTCCCTATAGCACCGCCTCCCACTCGCCGTGGGACGTGCAAGTGGCCACCGCTGCTGCTGGAAAATCGCAGCTCGTTCAAACCGATCGGAAGACTTGGCAGGCGCCTCAGTGTGTTGCCCGCTCGCAATCGTAGTGCGCCGGTGCTGTCGTTAGCGAGCGCGGCTTTACAAGTGGCACGAGGGCATTTAGTTTTACGTCCACAACGCATTTTACAACTCATTCGACAAATCATAATACATGATAAATAAGTTTTGGAAAACGCTAATTCCCATACGGGTAGTAGAATCGGTCAGTTTGGGGCACGTGAAGTTGAACTTCACATATCGAATCTTTAAAGGTTTACTTTCCAGTGTATCGGGGTTGGTAATTGTAATCCTTGATCAAATGACAATCATATCGAATCATCTCGATAAATAGCGACTCAAAGTACCAAAAAAAAAAAAAAAATTGCGTGGTGGAACCAAAGTGGAAAAATCCAAGCTGAAACCATGAGGTCATCACTAGTCCTTTTGGCAACTTTGTTCCTCGCGGTCGACCTGACGGTCTGCTACCATCCTCCGAAGACCGCGATCGACGACAACTCCATACCTCTGTCTCAAGTGCCACTTCAGTCCCAGATCAACCCCCAGTTGATAACACGCGAGGAGTGTGCCAATCGGTACGGTGTTAACGTCAACAACCAGCACCAGCAGGTGTCCAGTGGTGTGGGCTCCTCGCTGCCAGCTTACTCCCCGCTGTTGCCCCCATATTCACCCATTCCCGGGGTCAGCTCGCCACTGCCCCTCCCTGTGATCAACAGCTACGTTGACAATCGCTACGTCAATATCCTGCCACCCCTGCCTAAGGTAGCTGGCGTGAACCATTACGCCGGCCCCGTGCTCCAGAACCCCGTGGTGCCGAGAATCTCCGGTAGCGTCAGGAGCGACCAGAGCCCCCAACTGGGCAACGATGGGATCGTGTTCGAGGATACTTTCCCGAGAGCAGGCCTGCCCCTGGGACCGCCGAGCCGACAGGTCATCGTCCGGGGCCTTGAGGTGGTCCACCAGTGGAAGTACCTCGACTGGGTGTACCCGAGCGCCCAGCTGACCGGCAAGAACTTCACGCTCGGTAACCCGCTGTCGCAGGACGTGGACATAGACAGGAGGGGACGGATCTTTGTCACTAGTCCACAATGGCTGTCCGGGGTGCCGGTTACCCTGTCGACGCTGACCAGTCAGTACGGGCCTGGGGGCCCCTTGCTCACGCCCTACCCGAATTGGGAGTGGCACAGGCCGGGCTGCGAGAATTTGGTCTCGGTCTACAGGGTCTTGGTAACTATACCGTCGATGCGTGCTGTTAACCCTTTTATTTTTTTTTTCTTACTCGGTTCATGTTGGTAAAGGAGCTTGTACTTGAATTTTTTTATTACTGGAGATCTGGGTGCTCTTGGAATGTTTTGCGATGATGAAATACTTTTCATTAGGTGAGTCGATTTTTTTAAAGAATAATATCCTAATGATTGTGAAAATGAAATTTTGCTCCAAAGTAAATTACTTTTGGTACATTTTTAAATTCGTTCTTACTTTTGGCTTGGAACAACATTTTTAAATGAGATAAAATTTCAATTTCATTTCATGGTGATTTAGATACGAGGTTGGGAATAACATGCTTATCATCGAAAAGGTCACGGGTAGCAGTGAATTGACTTATCAATCATTGTGGAGGGAGGGATAAAAATTGTTTCGAAAGCGACGAATCTGGCTTTATTCCAACAAATGGTCATTAATCCGTCCACTTTAACTGTAAACGCGCACGTGATTGCACTAAAGGTGGGCGCGTTTGTTTGCAAATAGCTCGTGACAGAAACTAGTTTGAGCATTGCAACACTCGCGCGCATGCATGTGTATATATATATATATATATATANTCACAAAGTTAAAGTTAATGCTCAAATACTAAAACGTCTCTACATGACTAAACAGTACTAGATTACCATTCTAGTGCAGTAATTTTAATAATTTTTTTCTTTCGCAATAGTACCTCCTCTAAATTCTTATGATTGACTTCACACTATGATAATATTTAATTTATACTTGCCCTATAGATAATAAATTGAACATTTTACTATTACTTTGAGATACATTGTTTGACAAAAAAATCAAAAATTAATTACAATAGTGTATGGGACTGACTTAAAGTAAAGAATCGCTTAATAAACAGTTGAATAAAACTTGACGTATTTTAAAAATTTTTTTTCAAAGGGTTTTGTTATAAAGTAGCACTCACAAATTGGATGCTTGAACTGGTCAAGTCGTGGCTTCAAGTTAGAGAGAATATCCTAGCAAAATAAAAAAAAAATTTAATTTTCGCATAAAGCTGTTGAAATAGTTCAAAAAAAAAAAAAATCCTAAATACCATGGAGTCTATAAAAATGTTCTTTATATTGTGTTTGCATAGAAATTTCGTGTCGAGACAGTTTTCGTAAAAGATGCGTCGAGATAAACCTATCTCTGGCTGTAATCTGAGTGGACAAACGTTCTTTCATTACAAGTAAAAACTCACCCGTAGAATCTGAGGAGATGCTGAAGATCCTTGCAAACGAAAGATGAAAGCATGTGATCAATAAACGGAAAAAAATGAGACCAGCTCTAAAACTCGTGAGCTCAGCAGGTGAGGATAATAGCCGAGCGGAGCCCGAAAATCCCGAGTGCAGGAATAGGTAATTGAGTCGACCCCCCCCCCCCCGACTACCCTTCGCTCGAAAATTGAATGTCCTTTCCGTTAAAATTCATCCGAATTGTCGGAAAATTTCCGGAGCTACACAGCCTCCTCCGCTCGTTATCGGATTCACGAAAAGCGAAGCAGAATCCAACCCGCCCCACCTTCCCCGAAGAAACAGAAGATGGCGGAAATGGAGTTTTCGTCGCAGCCGGATACACGTACATACACGCGCATAAAAGGAGACGAGGGATCTCAAATCGTTTTACGAGACGGTAGTTTACGAGCTGGAGGAGGGAGGAAAAAAAAAAAAGAAGCCGTGGTGGAGATTCGCGGAAATAAATTTGCATCGGCCCTGCGCGGATACATGTATACGGCTGATATACATAACTACCGCTGTTTGGCAGTGATACTTTGGGGGTGTACGTGTATACAGGAAACAAGTGGAGAAAAGGCTGGAGAGAAATATGTATGTACATACTCTCTTGGATGGATTGTCTCGCTTTTTCTTCGGGGGAAAAGGGGGAGGAGTTGCTTCCTTTTTCTCGTACTCGAGCGCACGACTTTTTCCCTTTACCCCCCTCCGACTCCTTGAAATAAATTCCGCAGTATTGAATGCGAACGAGGGAATGTTTCTCAAGGGGTTTACGTTCAACTGCCTTCGAGTAGGAGAATCGGGCCTATGCGTGTGCACGGAGTTCATCATTAAAATACATGTACATTCGAGTGGTATTTATGCCTATTGGTAGTAACATGGGGTTCAAAGTTTACTTTAGGTATTTTACGTCAACCTTTGGGGTTACTAAAATATAACATTACCAGTAAGTGTGCAAAAATGATTAAAAAGTTCTTTCCAAACATTTTCCACGCATCTTTGCTGACAAAGGACGCTTTAGGATGAATTTTTTTCAAGAGAATTTTTCATCCTTTCACAGGGTGAATAAAATACTAGAGCAGTTTTAGACAACTCCTTAAATATTTTAATATTTTAGTAAAGAATCTTACAAAAGTATTGTTTTTCCTGTTACCTCAGTAGGGTATATTATAAGCTTCCTTCATTCAATCTGAAGCAGCAATAGAGTTTGACGTGATAAAAAAATAGGGTACCTTCAAAATCCCAAACAGTTCGTTTCATACCCTATAATGTCCTCTCGTACAAATGAAAATAAAAAAGAAATTTATCTTCATTGAACACAATCAAACTGCAACACCGAACGAATGAAATCCAACGGCTTCAAGCATGCTCCTCATTCCCAACCCTCATCCCACCGCGCATCCACGGATTTCACATCGCGTCCAACCATCATCAGCAGACTCCAACTGCCACATCGTCCATATTTATATATATATAAGTTCCTGCACCGGTCGTCCGCAGAATCTAATGCGCGATCGAGCACTGCCCCGGTACATAATGTATACACCCCACATCAGTCTCCCTCTACGTCCACGACACTATGTATATGTGGGCCTCTTCTTCTATCTTTAATAAAGCCCCGACGGCCCTATAATTCACCACCACCTCGTTCTCCTCCTCCTGGTGCACGTCTCTCCCCAGCAGCACATAAACACGCGTAGGTACACGACCGCAGGGGAACAAGCAACGACGGGGATGTACATACATGTGTGTGAGGGAGCGCGTCGGCGCTCTTGTCACTGGCCTAGTCAACGCGTAATTTACTAACGTTCCAAGCGTTACAACCCCCCCGTCTCTCTCTCTCTCTCTCTCTCCTAATATGTATGTGCGTTTGTGTATGTAACTGCACTACGGACAGATGCAGATGCCGAGTCAACTGCCTCGCTACGCTGTACCTATATTATATGAGTGCACCAACTGGGGAGTACGACTATACTCGTGTTTGTGTATGTACTACACGTGCGCGCGTGGATGTACAGGCACGAGAGGCTTGGCTATGCAGCCCCTGAATAGGTTCCTCAGCTCGAAGCTATTGAGAATACTGCGGGTCCTCGGGTTTGGTGGATTTGCAAGAGGTAGCGCGTTAGGAATCAAGCTGGAGGTGCCTTTTGCTTAAGGGTAGCCTATGTGACGGTGCTATAGGGTGTTTTCTGAGTTCTCGGAGTATACGATGCTTTGGACGTTTAGTGATAACGGGGACTAAGTAGAGTACGTAGAAGTTTGATGATAAATCGTATGCAATTTGATGCAGCAGATTCATAAACTTGGAAGGTGACTGCATCGAAAACAAGAGTCTCGCAGCTTTAGTATAGAATGTGGGACATTAGAAGGTGTGGCTGTTGAATGGAGGGTCTCCAATCAGCATGGCAAAGGGGATGGAAGATAGTAACGAGAAGTCGCATAATTAGAGAAATTGCAGACCAGTATGGAATATGCCAGGTGCTCAGGTGCTGTACCTGGCGTTTGGCCATAAACAACCAGCTTAAAGCGTCAAGACGTAACTCTTAACCGTCAGCCTATTTTGCTGAGTACAATGCTAATAAATAAGGAGCTCAACGGATTCCTTCTTAAGCAAAAGAGATAATACATGCTTACAGTGTTAAAGACTGCGAAAAAAAGTGGGAAATTTAGCCAGAAATGTATTTTGCCTGTCTCTCCTAGGATGAGTGATGTATGCTAGGATATAAATATCCACACGAGAATTGAATGTGACACTATTGAAAATCATCTCTTGAAGTTTTGGTGAACTGAGTATCAAGCCATTGTCACGTACTCAGAGCACTACGAGCTCTGTGTCAGAGCTGACTTGACTAACTCCTGAATGGACATTATCGATGTGGCTGATAGATACTGGTTTATAACTGTAAGCCTATCCAAAAGGGTGTTATTTTTACCAAAAATCGAATAGCTGCATCCATCTGCAAGATACGAGTGGAACCATTTCAGAGTCTTTATTAAGAGGCAGGTATGCGAAATGGTGTCAGCAGACTTTTTACAGTCAAACAGTAAGAGTGATTATGTTGCTGCACTAGAGAGCACAGGCAACTTGCAGATAGGCCGTATATTAGGAGAGAATGGATATCTGGTTTTGGCAAGTGGAGCAATCAAAGAATCCTCTTAGAGCAAAGGTATATGCATCCTGGACTAATGACTGGTGCAATGCATCCACTTGTTTGGACAAGTGACTGGTAATTATAACGTGGTTGACAATAGCCTGTCAGTAAGTTGGGTAACGTAGTGAAAAAATATTTGAGTCAAGTGAGTATGTATAAGGCATTAGTGTCGGTGTTAGAAAGTAAGAGTCAATGATGTTCTACTATGTACATGGTCCTCTAAAGAACACTTACTTGTCATGCTATAAGGCTGCCTTATTTTACATATATGGTAAATGCTTTAACTATTCATAACCTTGAAGTTGCAAATACAAAATCATGATATTATATTATTTTAGAGTAATTGTCATTTAAAATCAACATCTGAATCAAGTCCTTATTGTCCATGTGAAAAACGGAGTTGTTTCATTTTATTTTTTTTTAAACTCCCGTCTTACGAAATAAATATTCGTAAACACAGATAAGTATCTTATGAAATATTTTGCTCATTGCTCGTTAACACATTTATTAATAGTTTAATGCCGATTCTCACAACTGGTGGACGTGCTGCAAAGTACCATTTGTTCAACGCACGATCGAGTTCAATACAGCTCGCGATCAACAACTCGAGCTTTGAAAACAATTATTCTACGTTTGAAAAAGTAATAAAAACCCT